AAATTTCTTACTGAAATTAAAGGAACACTTTGAAGACACGTCTCAGATGGAGAAAAACATGCTGGACATCTATCATGACCTGGACTGGGTAATGTTTTAAGAATGAAAATATGCCATGATGGAAAAGATGATAGAAGTGAAAGTTATCAACCTGCAGAGGTCTAATTTCAAAGACACAGTGAAAAAGTGCAAAAATTATGTGACAGGTTCATCCTCGAAATTTTGCCAAATTTCATTACGACAACTCAAAGTGGTACTCAGTAGTTTGTTTGACCCCCAAATGGTTGTATGCATGCCTGACAACATCAGGACATGCTCTTAATGAGATGGCAGGTGGTGTCTGTGGGGCATCTCGACCCCAGATCAGAAGGCATCACTGAGCTCCTGGGCAGTCTGAAGTGCAACCTGGCAGCATCATATGGACCAAAGCATAATGTCCCAGAGGTGGTCTACTGGATTTAGATCACGTGAGTGTGGGGGCCAGTCAAGCGTATCAATTCCTTCATCTTCCAAGAACTGCCTGCATACCCTCACTATATGAGGCAGGGCATTGTAAGAACCCAAGACCCACTGCACCAGCGTAGGGCCTGACAATGGGTACAAGGATTTCATCAATACCTAATGGCAGTCAGGGGGCCGTTGCCTACCCTGTAGAGGCCACACTAGTGGCCTGCTAGAAGTCTTTTTCTAGCTCTGACAGTGCTCATCCCATTTCTCCTTGAACAAAGGAGCAGATACCAGTCCTGCTGATTGGTTAAAGACCTTCTACAGCCCTGTGCAGCTCTCCTAGAATAACTGTATATCTCCTGCATGCTCCTGAGACTGTGCTGAGAGACACAGCAAACTTTCCATCCTGGAGGTGTCCAGGTATCACCTTATGTTACTGACTTTAGCCAATGCAAGACTAGTGATAAACGTCAGAAAAGATGATGTCAGTAGCCTCCACCTGAAAAATCTTTTGGGGGCGGGTGTCTCATTGTTGTCCCTCTAGTTCAATTATGGTTAATTCCATTAAGACCAAAGGAATTGAAACTGCTTAACAGCCCCTCTGTTACTTAAATGACCACATCAATATCCTAGAAGCTTAACTGAGTTGATGATTTATGCTGATTAAAATGTGTTCCTTTATTTTATTACATTTTTTAAGTATTTTTGGAGCAGTATATTATATTTTATATTATAATGGACCCTGAGGTGCATGTGTGAAATGCAAAACCATGGATACTTTATATAAGCCGTCTAATGTTACTGCATTCCTCTGGACCACCATGTCTCCTCTGGCCAGACTTCTGTTCTAGAAAGACATCCTTAAAGCAGCATGTGTTCATGCCTCAGCCATATTTTACCAGCTATTCGTGTGGTCGCAAGAGCTGCTGCATGCACCAAATAACACTTAAACACATGGATATGATTAAAACAGCGTCACAAATACAAAAGAATATAATATAGAAATATATTAGATGCAAAATTCTCCTTCCTTTTTTTTGTATGTGTATTCCTGAATTGGCTGGAGCTATTAGTTTTTTCTCTAGATAATTTTAACCTCTCTTTTCTTTTACACAGTTCTATCAGGAGGAACTTGGTCAAGAGAGGCTGCGCATAGAGCAGGAGATGCAGGTATGTGGATTTTAGTATTTAAAACAGTGCTGGATCATTAGCTTTCAGCTGTTATGTTCTATCCAAAGTGTGAGAGCAGTTTCACACAGCAGACTGAGTGAAGAATATTTTGATAGACTCTGCCTCCTTATGGACAAGTGACACATTGCATTGATATGACTAGCACAGACACACAGCTAAATTATTTGTAGGCAATAAGAAATGATCTATAGTATTTAAGAATTTTTACAGTGCGTGCAGTGTGGGTGTGTTTGTGGTATAGGACCACATTTTACCCGATTTTTATCACTGAAAAAGGTAAAATAGCAGCAAGACATCCTCATAACCAAGCTCAAAGAGCGAGCTCTTAACAATATCATGAGTAAAAATAAGTAAAATACTCTGAAACTAAGCTGAAACTACATATGTGTAGAAGAAAGGGACCATGAGGCAGAAAAAAGAAAACTACTTTGCTTTTTGAGGCTGTAATGTATAGTGTATTGCTTAAGGATTCTAATGGTAGCGAGAGCCATCTTACTGGGGGCTTATCTCATCACGAGAAGTGCCAGAATCTCATTACATTTACAGGCTTCAGCTGCAGTGACATCCTCAAGGGCACAATTCTCTCCTGATGCATGATGAAACTACAAATGGAGAGGGACTATTACTTGAACAGCAACTCACTGTAACCTGGACAGAATCTCTACCCTGTTGAGTAGAGATCTTGTAGGGATTAATACTTAAGAACACAGTGTGCGTTTAGCTTATTGAACCTGTGCAGCGGTGCTTCTCTGTATTTGAATGTGTCAGCATTTGCTGCAAATGTATTTGTTGTCAGGCGAGTTTTGTTTTCAGGGAGGCTGTGCAGGCGTTTTAACTTGTAAATCATTTCTGAATGAAGGATGCAAATGTACTTGTTAGGCAGGCTCTCTGTTCAGATTTCAGACGGGACACACGTATGGGTAAAAGCATGTGTGTATGAGTGAGTGTGTGCCTCGGTCAGTGTGCAGTGAAAGGGGGAAAAAAGCTGAGGCAGCAATGGCAGCTGCGCTACGGCACAGCATTTAGTTACTAGGGTAACAGTGGAATTTGCATATGATCAGCAACCCTCTGAGTGTGGCACGTGGTACATATGAAAATTGTTGGCTGGATTCAGACTGCTCATGTGTTTAAAAGCTGATATTCAAATTTTCATGAGGCTGTTTGACTTTGTAAAATCAGAAGAAGATGATTGTTTTTGAAGTATAAGTACAGTATATATGTGCAACTGTATATAATACATTCTATATATATTATATGCCTCTTCCGTATTGCTGAATTGGTTTCTAAATCAGTGGAAGAAACTGTTGTTGTGTGTTCTTACCACAGCTTTGTTTACATGTCCTCACAAACATCAGAAGAGAGCATGTAAGAATGAATTTAACTGGGTTTGTGTGTGTGTGTGCGCACGTTTCCATGAGGAGTCATCCTTCACGTGCGTGTGTGCATGCAGGCGTCTCACTGGTTAGCAGTTTAGCAGTTCTGGTTTCAGCCAAACTATCGATAGGTCAGATTGACCTTTGAGTGCTCGGTGACCCCCGACACTGATATCAGGTTGTGTTGTTTCAGACAGACACCCGCCATAAGAGCTCATAATTAGCTCCCCAGCCACCACAGGCACTTAGCCAATAATTGTCTGCAGAGAAGAGCAGGCTGGACATGAATATAATCTGAAACCTTGAAACATATTTATTTCCAGGATCTCTTTGTCTGGAATAACATGCATCAGTGTAGACCTCTGAAGCAGTTAAAAAGCGAGACGTTTCATGGTAGTTATGAGCATTCGAGTTCTCATTAAATCTGAAAGAAAAAAATCTTCGGTTGCATCCTTCCCACATATGGCTCTCTGCAGCTAAACCTAATTTTAGAGAAAATGACTCAGGTTCAGCACTTAGTCTTCACAAAATCAGCAATCAAAGACTTTGAAGCACACATTAGTGAGGATTTCCAGTCTTATTCTCTGCTCTGATGCAGTACGGCTGCTTTCAGAGAGAAAAATGGTACACGGCAGGCTTCACACTGCATATATCTGCTTGGAACTCACAGTGTGACCATCTGTTTGTGCACCCTCGGGCAAACAAAAATCATAGCCGCTGCAGAGCTGAACTTACACAGTCAAATGCGGGATAAAGCTCTGGTTGTTTGGTCATTACAGTCCAACCATTGTTGAAATATCAGCACCATGGCAACAGAAAATAATTGTAATAATATTGTGCTGGTCTAACGAGGACACTATTTACAGACTAAAGCCACCATGTCAATCGTGTTATAATCATATAATGATGTTTGATACCTTTGTTAATAGCACGGCAGTTAATTGTGTTTTTAAGTGTGTCAGTGTATCTATTATTATTATTATTATTATTATTTTATTATTAATTAATAAATTATTAATTTAGTTAATGACAAACAATTTGATTTCTGACAAGAAACTCTATTAAGAGTTTATTTTCATATGCAGCCTCGCTGGCTCATTGCAACACAGGTGTTTTTTTGTTAACTGTATTTATTGATTAGTATGTGATATCTTCTATTTTTACTCTGCAAAGCATCTGCCTGACGACTGAAGGAATAAAGGTCAGGAAGGGGACTCTGGAAGAAACAGAGCATACATTTATTAACCTCGGAGGTCTTTTCTGTAGTTTATAATTGCGTGTAGTGGTCTTGTTAATTCTAAATTATTAATGCTTAAAGAAATGTAGGCTACAATAGTTTTACGCGCGCCCGTGTGTGTGTGTGAGAGAGAGAGAAAGAGAGAGAGAGAGAGAGAGAGAGATGGGCTGTGTCATAATATTTATGAATGTGTGGAGTGATTTGAGTCCCCAGGTTGACTTGCCTTCGCTGATAATTCAACTGGTTATTAGATAATATTACATTTTATTTTATAAAATGCAGCTGTTTAATATAAATGTGTGCACTGTTGTTCTTTTTCATTCATCCTCAATAAAAGCCCCCTTTAAGGGTTAGCATGCGACCATGCTAATACAGCTAATGTGAATTGTATAAAACAAATATAACTTGGAGACGTTTAATTGTATAGATTAGCGTCATGCTACTAGGCTTTTCACCTGTTCAGTCAGGCGGACGGAGCTTAGCAAACCGGGTAGGAGGAAGTAGCAGACACCCGGGGGAGCGACTCTCTTTCCTGTTTACAAATAAACCCAAAATAGAGGAGATGTTATTTAGGGATGAATTTAAATATGCGTTTTAAAACGAAAGTGTCTATGTTTTGAACCGGTATCTCAGCGGGAGTTAAACTGCGAGCATCCCTGAACGTCTTCACCGGGCTTCTCAACTCCCCCTCGTTTTCCCTGAATGGTGCGCTCCGACGCTGCAGGTCTGGTTCGGGCAGGCGCTTCGTTATCTGACTGGAGGACATCCGACTGGAGTCCGGTGTGTCGTATCTCTGCCTGTAGCTGCTGTAACAGCTCTGAGATGAACAGACAGCCTTTGTTTGGGACACAGACGCCTCCGGAAGAGTCAGAGGATCGTCCTCGGACGGCTGTTACTGCTCGGTGTCCGCGTACTGGGCAGTAGATCCCGTCGCTTCCCGGTCACGATGAACCTGTCGTCGTTCGGAGCGGCTCGCGCCTCCGTGATGGTGCAGAGGCACGTGCGGCTGTGTTGGGAAATGCGAGATAGGATGTTTGTTTTTTTGACAGCGTGAGGACACTTTAAAGATAAATACTGCGTCTGATTCACGAGACATTACCTGACCAGTGTGCGCCATTGCGATTCACCTGCCCCTCCATCAGATGAACGGGGATCCTGGATGTCTTTGGATCACAGCTACAGTATAAACTGATCTTACAAGCTCTTTTTTTTGTCTACCTCCTTTAATTTATCATGGACTTAGAAGTCATCGCATGGACTCGGGGAATGAGGAGCATTACACTGTCTTGTTTATGTTATTGACATCAGTGCTTGCTCTGAAGCTGGACATTGTGCTCTTCTTGCTGTTTATAAAGCAGCACAGTCATTCTGAGGATCCATGTATCCTCACATCCTCATGTTAGAGTAAATAAGATGTTCTGCTCCTCCCTGATAACTATAATACTGTGTAATGTTTGATCTCAAGATGAAGGAGGTGTGTCGTATTTGTGGAGGGGAGCTCTGTGGTAACCAGCGAAAATGGATCTTCCATCCTGCTGCCAAACTCAACCTGCACGTGCTGCTCTCTTATGCTGTGGGGCGGGAGCTGACCCGGGATGGCAGAGGAGAGTTTGTCTGCTCCAAGTGCACCTTCATGCTGGACCGCATGTACCGCTTCGACACAGTCATCGCTCGTGTGGAGGCCCTGTCCATCGAGAGGTTGCAGCGGCTCCTGCAGGAGAAGCATCGACTGAGGCAGTGCATCAGCGGGCTCTATCGGAAAACCAATTCAGATGAAGGGGCTGTAACATTAAGTGGAAGTGATGACAGACCAGGGGATGGGATGGTGGATATTTCAGGGCTAACTCATGCAAAGTATTGCGCCCTGCTCCAGGAGGATTTAGTCTACTCTTTGTATGAGTCCTGGGCAGATGACAGCCTGGACTGCCAACATCACCACCATCCTCAATGTCCTGCTGCTAAAGGGTCAGAGGTTGCAGTTGAAGGCTCACAACGGTGTACGCCCAGCACTCCCAGAAGGTGCCGGGGATGTTCTTATTGGCGGGTGGCAGACTCTGATTATGAAGCTGTCTGTAAGGTGCCCAGAAAGTTGGCCCGGAGTATTTCTTGTGGGCCATCAACCAGATATTCAGCCAGTGTGGTTGGGGGAAGTGTGACTGGAGGTGGTGCAGGTGGAGAAGGAGAGAGGAAAAATGTGGAAGATTCAGAAGACATCACCTCCTCTCAGACTCTAGTTCCTGGATCTCAGGACCCCTCGAGGACCTCAGATAGTGATCGCACTTTAGCTGGGCGAGCCAGCTCAAGCCCCTCTATAGCATCCTTGGAGGCAGCTGAGGAATATATTCAGCCTGGAGCCATAACAGATGGATCCCTGGGCTCCCCAGTGGATGCAATAGAAGACCAGATATCTGACTCCCTCTCTGAGGAGCACATGGGAGCTCCACTTGGCCAAGCCTCTCCTAGACGCACTTTCTCTCTAGCCCTGTCTTTGCTGCAAAGCTGTGCTGTCTACCGGCCAGTCCGGAGCACAAAAGGGAGCAAGCTCCCAGTCTTTCTCAGACGAAGTTCCAGCAACGGGGGCACAAGGTTGTCCTTTACCGATCCCGTTATGGGAATGCCTTATGGAAGCCCAAACGGAGAGAGATACAATCACACGCCAACACCTGAGCTGGATACCCCTCTGATCAGAGTGGACACTGGACTGGATCAGGATCTGAACCTGGCAGACTTGGAGAAATTGTTTGAAGATTTGTACAAAGAGTATCCTCCTCCTCCTCCCCACCAGGTACAAAAACCTTGATCGGAATGGGGATGTCGGCGAAAAGACGAATTTCGTTAGTGCAGAGTGACGGCACTTGGTACAGTAATGAAGTTGGCCTTTGATGAGCAAACTTGCTACATCTGCAGTAATCTGACTGAACCAGCCTGACAGGCTTTGATGTTTGACACCGCGGCCTGCCCACAAAACCATTATCACCACATTTTAGCTTAACTATCCACATAACCCAGCTACACACAGCCTCTGCAGTTAGCTCTCACCCCAAAGGACCTGAGCTTCAGTAGCGTGCAGCCATGTTTAGTTGTGTGGTAACACTATACATTACACAAGCAGTCAGGTGTGGGTAGCATGGCCTAATTAGCTAGTCTGTGTGCGTGAGTGTGCACACATAAAGAACTAATGATGAAGCAAAGCATGGCACATTAGTGTATTTTAGTATTAATATCTGTGTTCTTCCAGCCTTTAATTTGTTACTCCTTATCTAATTTAGTCTTTATGATAAAGCCGAGTGTTTGCAGTGATGATACATGAACACTGCCTTTAGACAGATGAGTCTTGCAGTTTTTCCAAGCCTTGCAAAACAAGATTTTCCGCTCCAATATGTAAAGATAAATGTGTGTGGATGAGTTTTTGTGTGTGCTGTAGTTAAAAAAAGTCTAATTTCTCTTACTCATTTGTAATACCTTGTAGGGGGTATGGATTTGTCTGAAGCCTGTGTTTTTCCCTTACTATGAGCATGTGATCGCCGAGCGGGGAGTGCTCAGTGAATTAGGTTAGATATGGGGAGACGTTAAGACAAAGTGACTCCACTACTGCCCTATTTTCACTCAGAGCCCTTGAGGCAAAGTGATCCACGCGATGTCAGACCACTCTGTCATCTCAATACTGGTTGGCTACTAAAGTCACACTATTTCATCATAATACCACCTTCTATCTTAATGTGAAAACTCTGAACTGCATCACCCAAACGACAAACACATAGTGATATTCTTCCTGTAGTGAAAGTTAAAATCATTTATATGCTGGTTATGTATGTATGTATGTAGCAGGAGCACAGAGCACTTTGGGTAAACTCACTCATGCATGCAGATGCTCATGAACCACTCGAGTGGTTCTTTCCTTGTCATAGCACACACACACACGAATGAACAGAGTTTATGTATCTTGTGCACAAAAAGTATTACGTAATATGCTGTGGTGGTTATGAAGGCTTTCTATTTTTTATGAATTTGAGAAAAATGTGTTTTCTAAAAATAATTCAGCTAAAAGATATTGTGAATAGATTTTATAAGGTTAAACTCTGATGTCTTAACCTTTTCCAGAGTCTTGTTGAAGAGCAGCAGAGCCAGCTCAACCAGTATGAGTGTGCGGCCGGTCAGTGTGTCAGCGAGCTGCAGAAGGCCCAGCTCCAGGTCCAATCCCTGCAGGCCAAAATCCAGGAGAGCGAGGCCAACAACATGGTGATCCTCATTAAAACACATAACAGCAGCTGGATATGTTCTTTTATTGTGCATCGGGCTGATGGCAGCCTAACCTAACCTTTCTGCCTCCGTCTGTAGAAGCTGCAGGAGAAGCTGAGTGAGATGGAGTGCGAGCTACGTTCGCTTCGCCAGGCCTCTCAGAGTCAGGAAAGAACCATTCAGGGCCTCACAGAGTCTCTCAGCACCAAAGACAGCGAGGTGTGTGTCTGTTTGTACCTAAACAAGGATCGCTGTGACGTGATTTGTAAACCTGTTGTAAATTTGCTGATTCTGCTCTAAGGCCCAGGAGCTGTACCAGCTGATTGAAGGGCAGAACACCACACTTTGCAAGCTGCAGGAAATAGCCCATCACAGCCAGCTTGCTCAAAGCAAGGTGAAGATTTTGACCTGTTTTTTAATCAAAAAATGTAAATGTTGTCCTCAGTGTGAAAACATGTTGTCTTTTTGACCTTGGTCTGTGGTCGTTCCTTTCTTCAGGCTCCGGCAGGAGTTAGCGAGTCCTTGGCGCTCGCTCAGCTGCAGGGCGAGCTGGTCGGGGTGCAGAGCTCCCTGTTCTCTCTTGGACTGGAGCTGGAGGCCAGCCAGAGGAGTCTGAGACAGAGCCAGAGGCAAGCCGATGACCTGATGAGGTTCAAGGAGAGACTAAACTCAGATCTACAGGAGGCACTGCAGCACAGAGAGGTCACCGAAAAACACAATCAGGTCAGTCTGGTTGTGACAGTGTGAGTAAACCAAACATGTTACACAGCACGTTTAACATACTTTCTTTCTACTGCAGGACCTGCGCTGCGCCCTTCACAAACTTCGCACTGAGCTTCAGGCCAAAGAAGCAGCTTTAAAGGAGAGCGAAGCAGAGAAACACGCTCTGACGCAGGAGAAAGACCGGAGCGTCGCACAGCTCAAAAGCGCTCTGCAGGACAAGGAGCAACAGTTGCAGGTGACGTGCACAATCCCAGTCTGCTTACATAATATATATACTGTGTATATTCATACAGTATAGATATATATATATATTAGGCACACACACACTTCTTTTTTAGCCCATCTAAAAATATATTAATCTGTAGGAGTACTCAGAGATGGTGGAATCAACGGGAAGCTCCAAACCAAATCCAAGAGACGCCCTGCTGGAGAAACTGAGGGAGCGCATTAAAGAAAGAGACAGAGCTCTGGAGGTAAACAAGCACACAGATTCACAGCAGGGATTGAAACTTGTGGCAGATACTGAAAACAACTCATTTTAGCCACGGCTACATTCGCCCCAAATACACCATGTGATTCATGAACAAACTGATGTGCATTCATTGTCGGGACAGTGGGAAGGCTTTTAGTCACAAAAGAGTGTCAGTCAAGAGTCATGGGCACACAGCAATACAGACTCACAAACCAAAAGGTCAGTGTGCAGTAATGTTTTAGTGCAGTGGGAAGAAATATATGAATTAAAAAGGTGACGATGAAAAGCATGTGTTAAATCTCTCGGTGTTAGCTACTGCATAGCTAAACATTTTATGCAGTAAACTACAAAACTATGAAGTGCAAAGAACACGGTGAAGGTTGAGGATGCTTTTCCATCGCTGCCTGCAGCAATCTATCGATGACAAGTTCCACTGTGTGGAGGAGCGTGAGGGCCAGGTGAGGAGGCTGCAGCTGGCTGTGAGAGAGAAGGAGCGAGACCTGGAGAGACTCCGCTGCATTCTGTCCAACAACGAGGAGACCATCACGGTACGCTCGCGACACGCAGCATCATCATGTCCGAACTGTTTGGTGTGGAAACACTAGAACATACATATTATGCAGATTAAAGCTCACAGTTTAAAACAAGCTTGAACCAACAAACCAATAAGCCAAGTGCATCATATTTAATAAATTGTGAATGAATTAAATTTTTTTTAGTTGTCATAACGCTCAGTAAACTCTCCATTTTCAAGAAAATTGAATTTTTCTGGCAGTTATTTCATGCTTCAGGTTTTATAGCATTAAACATATTACTCAGTATCTAAAGTTATGCACTGATATATTTTTGGTGATCGTGACCACCAGAGTCTTGACGGTTTGGTGCGGGGTAAAGAGCTGGAGCTGGAGCAGGCAGCAGAGGCCTACAGGAACCTCCAGTGGTTGAAGCAGCAGAGCGATGAGAAGGAGAGAAACTCCCTGAGAGAGAAAGACACCATCATAACCCAGCTGCAAGCAGCACTACAGACACGCAGCCAGGAGGCTCAGGTACACACTGACATTTACAACAGGTTTCTGTTTCAATTATTCTCAGTTGTTTGCGATGTAAATGTTCAAAGCTTTGAAAAACCACCCCATGTTGACAAACCTGTCTCACCAGTTTCTTACTAATTGCTCTGTTTGTTGTGTTGTGCGTGTGCAGGATCTCACAGCTGCCCTCGTCGCCAGAGTTCAGGCCGGTCCCACTGAGGTTGTGGAGGAGCTGAAGGCTCGGTTGGCTCTGAAAGAGAAACTCTTCCAGGAGCTTCTGGGAGACCGCAGCCGGCAGTCTAAGGAACACCAAGCACAGATCCAGGATCTGCTCAGCACTCTCAGCTCCAAAGACCAGTATCTGCAGGTGGGCGACATCGTGGCATCGAAGTGCAGCTGGTAGATTACAGGTTTGGGCCGTACAAAAAGGCGGTTCAGGAAGATAAAGTGTAACCTGATCTTTCTCTCTCTCAGGACTACTCCTACAGGCTTTCCTTAGTGATCAGTGAGCGGACTGGCCAGCTACAGGAGCTTCGCAAGCAGCTGTCAGAAAGAGAGCAGGAGCTGCATGAACTGAGATGGGACAAGGAGAGAGACACGGGAGGAGAGACGGAGCATCTGCAGAGTCTCCTTAAAGAGAAGGAGGCTTTTATCAAGGTACTTGCTCCGACATTTTGCCTTGGCTGTTTGTCTTTCTATAGATCCTGTACACCTGGTGTTCACAGGCTACTTTATCACACTGTCAGGAGCTGATGAAGGCTCTGAAGGAAGACATGCAGCTGGTGCTGAAAAAGGAGGCAGAGGCTCAGGTATCAGTGAAGCTGATCAGTGAATCAGTGATGCACTAAAATTTCATGTTTTTTAATCTTTTAGTGACATCTTTTGGTTCTTTTTCTGCAGAAGGAGATCTCTGCTCTACGTTCGTCTTTAGCTCACCAGCAGTCAGAAGGAGATGCCACAAAAGACAACACTGATCACAAAGTATGATTATTGCTTCATTTCGAGTCGCTTAGACAGTGTTTAGACATTTATATTCCTTAGGAAATAACCACTTTACTCCTTTTTAACCCTCCCCGCCACTGTGATTCAGCATGTGCTGGAGCAGCTGGTATCAGAGTACAGCAAGCTGAATGACGCCTTGAGGGCAGAGAAGAGGTTATACCAAAATCTCACTCACATTCATAAGAGTGACAGGTAGGAAAATTCCACGCAGGTCTTGTGACACTCTGGATTCCTGCAAAGCTTTTTTTTTTTGTCCTTTCTTCTTTTTTTTTTTCAAAAACACCATTTTGTTCTGGTCTTTTTGATTTTGCAGCAGCTCAGAGAAGATCCAGGCCCTCCACATGGAGTTGGATTCAGTTCAGGCACTCCGCAGACAGCTGGAGGAGGTCCTGTCTCGGACCCGTAACACGGCCCTGCTACTGGACAGGGCAGCTAAAAGGCAGCCTGACTTTGGAGGTGGGAACGGGCAGGGTCCAGCCTCCAAGGCTGCAAGCACCATTGTCACCTGATGCTCTGTGTGACCACAGCACCACTCAGTGACACTCTAAATGTGAGATGGAGCTGTCTCCAACCACTGACGGTCAGGTTTATGAAACATTGCGTTCCTGAAGTAAGAGAAAGAGATCTATATTAAAAAAAAAAAAAAGCCAAAATCTGACCCTCAGTGTGCAGGCAGCTTTGTCCAAATAACACAAACACCCCTCTTAATGGTATGAAGTGAAAATGTGCAACTCAGAGTTTAATTTATTAATATATTTTGTGAGTGTGGTGTGAATCTGTTGGGTTTTTTTATATTGTTTTTTTGAGGATTGCCTGCATATTGCTTTGTAGCTCGATTGTTCTCTATTGCCATTTCTGTGTACTGTCTCTCACCGGTGTCGCTCTTCCAGCCTTACTGTCACAGTGAAGTCACGTCTTGTGGAGAAATTCAAGCTCATGCCTTACAGTGAAACGTCTCACCATCCATCATTTGTTTTATATCATCTGTTTGTCAGCAGGATTGTGCACGCTTAGCAAAGGCCCAGGAAACAAATCCAAAAAAGATGGCCTCGTACTTTCCTTTAGTTCTGTGTTAGCTCTGATTGATATGATATGATAGAGTAGGCTAGTCATTTTAGATATAAGCTGGCAGATGCTTTATGTTGTAGTAATTTGATATGATATGCATATTTTTAGCAGCTCTGCTTCTAGATCCAGCTTTGTACAGAGATAGGATAATCTACAGTCTAGACAGTGCTCTCTATTAATGACAGGAGATGTGAACACCAGAAATAAACCTTGCATATGAATTATTTATATGAGGTAGAGTACATTTTCTAGGGATTTTGTGCCCCCGATCTTTTCATCTAGCCTCACAGATGGAATCACCGTCAAAGCTCCTTCTACTTCTTCTTCTTTTTTTGTGTTTTAAATGCATCAAAAATAAACATGTGCTGGCTTTTTGTCAAAAGCACTTCTGGTATGGATTTCTCTTTATTGTGTTTAATTAGGAAACCTGAAATCCTCCACTTATTCCTTGACATACCTTCCGTCTTTCCCCTCAGAGCAACCCACAGTATATATCATCTCTCTGAACCTTTACCCAGAGTAGAAATATTATTTACCCGGCCTCCTCAGCCTCTCAACTTTGCCTTTTTTTGTCCTAAAGTGTAAATTTAAACCCATATGAACACGTGCTAGAACTTTTAATGTATAAATACAAAGGCAACAAACAGCAACATGTATTCTTAAAACAAACTCGGTCCCAATTAATGTTCCTTCATGTCCTTTCTCCCTCATGCATGATAGTGTGGCATGGTTTTCATGTTTGCATGGCTTCCACTGTAATGCCCAATGAGATATTCATAAACACAAAGCCCGTGTGACCAGTCACTCAGTGTCCTCACGATCTAGCTTGAATAAAAATACAATTCAAGTCCCTCTTCCTACACCTTCCTCATATGTGGTGACATTATGTAGTGTCACAATGTGTAAACAGGGTGCCACATTACACCAGTTAAGCCTGAAGGGACACATTACTCAATCCGTATTGCCTCAGCAGTTTTGCTGAGTTTCCTGCCCTCTCGCTAACAACACAGAGACATTTAGTGCTGTATGCTTCATTAAAGGTGGACACATTCTGATAATTAACACCCGTTAAACTTGCTCTGACTATGAAACAATCCTTTAATATGTCCCCACAATGCAGTGAGCAACTCTAGACACAAACCCACACCTATGATTCACATGTAGCTCTGTGCAGTGCGTGCGAAGGCCTATTATGTAAAACAGTTTCCCTTAGAAATTCTTTTCAGTCACTTTCCTGATGTTCCTGCTCTCTCTGTGAGTGTGTATACAATATTAAAAACAGAACAGAGAAGAGAGCATGCAGTACTCGGTCACAACAACCTCCTTTAATCCCTGCAAACAGTCGTTACCCTTAATCTGCTACAGTTGTGTCATTTTTAGGTGTTTAAAGTGGCCCTCACACACACACACTGTTACTGAGTGCACCGGTTTTTTGGCTGGCTTGCAACTTATGACATAACATTTCCCTTAAGTCCCATGACTTCCAAAGTGGTGATTCAGTGGAGAGAGAGAGAGGACTGTGGAAAGAATGGGATAGAGAGGATGCCAGGGACGGAGAGGCTTAAAAACTACATGACTGAGAAGAAAACCAGGGGGTTTGAGATTTAAAGAAAAGAACCAAAGCAAGTGGATACTTTCCCTAAATGGTCATTTTGTTTCCAGAGCTCAGCACAGAGGAGGAAGAGGGAGACGATGAAGACGGCAGCAGTGAGGAGTTCACAGACAGCATAGAGGAGGATGACGATAGCGTGAATGCCAGAAGTTTGACCTCCGGTCAGGTAAAGTGCTTTTACTAACACTTCACTGTGACCATTAAGAGCATCTCACCTACTCCCATGACTTAAAGGGTAAGGACTAAGAAGTATTATTTCTAACTCTGTAGGCTTCTGTTAAGGCTCAAGGACCTGAGTGTGTGACCCGAGGGCTGGTGAGGGGGGCACAGTCCCAGACAGCTGATGTAAAGCAGCTCGATGAAGCAAAGAAGACACTCGAGTTTGAGCTTGAAGAAATAAAGTCACAGCTGGAGAGGGATGGATACACCTCTGTAGCTCAGATGAGGTGTGTAATTTGCTTTAAATGACTTACTGTTTACCTGATCGTGCTGTGTTTGATGGCACCATTATGCTTATTTGTCCTTCTGTTCGACTTTTGCTAGGAGTGCCCTGCAGAAGCTGCAAAGGGAGAACCAGGCCCTGAAAGAAAACCAAGTACGAGCTGGAGTGGTGGGGACAAACACAGAGCAGAGTCTGAGCCCAGAAGAAGAACAGGAAGAAGAAGAAGAAGAGGAGGAGGAAGAAGAGGAGGAGGAGGAAGAAGAAGAAGAGGAGGAGGAGGAGGAAGAGGATACTGAGGAAGAAGATGAACTGGAAACATCTCCGGTGCCGGTGGGGAAGCGAGGTCCTCCATGTGTTAGTCTGAGCAGCGAGCCAGGGAAGAGGCACTGCATGAGGCCATGCTCTCTGAACCTGGGCACACTGACATCTCACCATCTCACACACCAACCTGAAGCGGTAACACATTATGTCCTCATTATCTGATCATTATTACAGATTTAGTGTGATTCTCTTTAGTGTTAGAGAGAATAAAATGACCAGACAATTTAATACCCGAAAAAGTACTCAGATCATTAAATGTAACATATACAGTTTAGATGGGAAAATATGTTAGAAACATTTGAAGGGCAATAAAGTGTCACTAGTAAAGTTTAATTTAGAAAGTTAGCCTGATACTGCTTATAATTGGATCGTCAGTAATCCAGGTGTTCTAAATAGTTGTACTAACAAGTTTAAATGTAATCATATTATTTGTCATGCTTTACATATAAACGTAGCTCTTAAAAAAGAATCAGAAACAGTCAGTTAATGTCTTGTTATATGTGATATTTCAGTGCAAGAGATGCTGTATGGCTAAATAATTAAATGATGTGCCTGTGAAGATTACACATCAGTGTTGCTTAGATGCTTTGCTTTTGCAGGAGACAGCGGTCGCCGGTGACAGCTCTCAGGTCAGAGCGCTCTGGCGAGATAAAGAGGATGGCCTCCGTGAACAGGCGTCTCGTCTGCACGCTGATCTGACTCTGAGCCAGCAGGAGAACAGAGAGCTGCAAGAGAGGCTGATGGTGTCTGAGGCCACGGTCCAAGCTCAGGCCGAACAGCTGAAGGAGTACAGAGATCTGCTCAGTGAGTCACTCTGAGGAGCATGTATAAAGGAAGGCTGGGATGAGTTAGACAAATACATTTAAACATATTTAATTATTTGGTATAAAGAAATGAAGTAAGTTCTGCCTCATGTCTGTGCAGCCGAGACGTCTGTCCAGCAGGCCAACAAGCAGGTGCAGGTGGATCTTCAGGATCTGGGTTATGAAACTTGTGGCCGGAGTGAGAACGAAGCAGAGAGAGAAGACACCAGCAGCCCAGGTGATGAACAAAGATCTGATTCACTTTCGACCAAAAACATGCTCTCTAAGATACTCTCATTAATTATGTCTCACCTCTCCTCCTTGCAGAGTTTGACGACCTAGAGATGTGCACGTCGCTGTCCCATCCTCAGGACTGTGAGGGTGGTGGCTGGTACGCTGGAAGCTGCAGCAGTAACAGAGGCGCTTATGAAATGAGGGATGAGTCGGCGTCTCTCCAGCATCTGGTCCAGGATCTGCGCTCACAGCTGACTCGCTGTCACAAAGTGATCCGTGGACTGCAGCTCCGTGTCCGGTCTTTGTCTGCGACCAGTGACTACGCCTCCAGCTTGGAGCGCACCCCCCGCAAGGTACTGACTCACCAACAAATGCTGTACTTTAAATTTATTTAATGTTAAAGAAAAAACAATTCAAAAAACAAGGGTTTTATTGCTTTTCATCCTCACCCTTTAGGTAAACTGGGCACTTGAAAGATCACCAGCCCCGAGTGGTGTGGATGAGGATGAAGGCTGGTTATCTGATACCCAAGGGGCTCGTCCAGGGTCCAAGCCCAGCAGGGAGCTCCAAGAACTGATGGAACGAGTCGCGTCGCTGGAGGCTCAGTTGAAAACTACCAGATCGGAGGGCAAAGGCCAAGCAGAAGAAGGGAAATGTGCCACCTGGCCTGGGTAGGTTAGCAGCGATAAAGTGGCAGTGTTGCACATTTACTTTTTATCTAGAATCAGTTGATGTATGCGCATAAGAGCGAGACTAATCTCCCTTAACACTGCGGTGCATTTTGTCCCTGTGGCGGCTGATTGTCTTCTGCACTGTGCAGGAAGTACAACTCTCTGATCCAGGCTCAAGCTCGTGAGCTGTCCCACCTGAGGCAGCGGATGAGAGAAGGGCAAGGAGTCTGTCACATCCTGACCCAACACCTGGGAGACACCACCAAGGTGCTGCAAACACACTCACTGATTCAGTGATATTTTCTACATTTTATCAACATGGAGAGAGAATAAAGTTCTAGCAAAGTTCATAGCAGATTCTCACAGATGCACTAAACGTCAACAACTTTCAGGCTTTTGAGGAGCTCCTGCGGGCCAATGATATTGACTACTACATGGGTCAGAGCTTCAGGGAGCAGCTGGCACAGAGCACTGCCCTGGCACAAAGAGTGGTCACCAAGATTAGTGGACGTAAGGAACTTTTTTTTTTAACTGTTTCTACTGTTATTTAAAATCTCACCGCTCCATCTTTCCTCTTTTCTCTCCACAGGAGAACGTGTAGAGAGTCATGATGACAAGACAGGCCACGAGTTGCTCGCCTTGCGGTAAGTGAGCTTGTTCATATCTACATGTGTGATGTGAGAATATGTAGGAGATTAAACTATTTTAGGGTGGTAGCAATTAAACCAAGGAGCGATCTTTGCTCAAAATCAAGTAACCAGCAACATCTGGGGATGAAAAGTGAAGCCATCACTGTTCGAATAATTAGTTGAGCCTGGTTCCAAAATCAAGTCAGTCCCCAGAAACTGACACAGACCACAATTTAAGCAGAAGCGTGAAGATTCAGCCTAGCATGAAAATCAGTTTTGGTCTTTATCAAAACTGCAGTGTCACCTGCAGTTTTGTGATCTGTTGACCCCCACTGAACTTAATAGCTCACTTTGCAGCACTATGTCTGTCCCGCTGATTAGTTTGCTCTGTCATGTGACACGCTGTGAGGAGCTGTCTGCATAGCTACTTATGTTGGAGAGAAGACAGAAGGTCTGCTGTTAATCCACACGCGGGCCACCACGCGGATCGTTTAAGTTACTCTAGCTGAACAGACAGCTTCCCGGTTTCCACCCAGACAGGCTTTAAAATGCTCAGTGTTTCTGTATCCTTCACAGCTTGGCACACTGTTTCTGTTGGATTCATGCTAAGTCACTTATTCGTGGATTTCTGTTGTATTGATGCTTGCTGCTGTACTGATAAATATTTGTTTTGAAATATTTTCCTGCATGCAACATTTTTAAGGGTTATCAGGAAAGCTGGTGAAATAAAAAAACAAAGACACTTAAAAAAAAAAAAGATGCTGTCAGAGAGCCAGGGGACCCAAAACAGCAAGAGAGACACAAATACATAGCATGAGGGTCTCTAAGGCCTCTAGACCCACTTGTGACTCACTAGAAGTGATTTCTCATCTTCTATATAAATGTGTCTGCATGGTCAGTTTGTCTCATTTAATTTCATTCGACTATGGTTGCAATTCTTTTGGGTGTTTACACAGAAGATGTCCACACATCGTTGCATCACACACATTATTGATGCAAGAACAGAACAGGACATCATGTGATGTCTCAAAATTTTGGCCAGCCAATGAGGATGGATGATGACAGTGCATAAATTTACAGTAGTCAAGAACATAGTGTGGTAGCTATGCAAGCCTTTGATTTAGTAGTGATTTTAGAACTGTGTAAAAAGTACCTAAAACTACTGTAATCCATGGCTTCCTGGAGCCATAGTATGTTGTTGACAGGCATGAAGGCACTATTAACATAAAATACACATTAATAGGCATCTTATTAGGACTTATAAGCACCTCACACCCTATTAGTTAATGCTCTTTAAATGGGCTTTAATATAAAGTGAGTTATCCTGTGCTCATATAGGGAAGAAGAGCTCTTTTTACAGTAACAGTGTTGTTTATGTTGTCTAATATTACTGGAATATTTCCTTTCCTATTTCCCTCAGTGTTGATGAGTTTTCTGTTTTCTGTGCATCCAAATGAAAAAACTGGCAAAGAAGCAAATGTAAAAGCCTTTACTTCGATTCGAGGAGGAACTAGTTAGACTTTCATCAGAACCTTGAACTCAAAAAACATTTTTTTGATCATGACTCAAGAGTTCGGAGGCTAATTCCTACAAAGAACACACAAATGTGTAATAGAATGAAATGAAAGTGATTAGGTTTAATATCTCAAAGGTTTCACTGTGATATCATGACCTTCTGTCCACGTGCAGGTTAAGTAAGGAGTTGCAGCAGAAAGATAAAATCATCGAATCACTCCACACGAAGCTGCAGCACCGTCCCGAGACCCCGTCCAGTTGCCACGCCCTCTCTGAGACTACGGACCAATCAGATAGGACCTCCTTGGTGTCCGATGAGTACCAAACCAATGAAGACTTGGAGCTGTGCTCTGATTTGGACACCAGGGAATATCAGGAGGAACACCGACTCCGGCAGCCAGGACTCGGATCAGATCCGGAAGGTATCGTTGATGTTAATCTCTCTTTCTGTGAAATGCATCTTTCTATCATTTCACCTTCCATTCCCCTCTTTTAGTCCGTTCCTCTATCCCACCACCTCTTCCTCCTCCTCCTCTTCATGGCCTCCTCAAGTCTTCAAGCAGCTGTCCCAACATGCTTTGCACAGCCGCTGTGGGTTTGACCAGAGGTAGGGGAGTCACAGATGGCTGTTGACTTGCAAAGATCATTTTCTTTTTTCCTCCTCATCCTTTCGTCTTCTGTATGTGTCCTGTCATTCTCCTCCAGCCCTTTTCAGTGAGCCTGTCTCCTCCTCCCTCTCTATCCCCTCTGGCCCTGACGGCTGGGGTCACGAAGTTATCTTTGACCCCCGGCCCAGAGCTCTCTCTGTGATGGCTGTTCGCCCAGAGCTGGACACGCTGTACAAACAGATGAATGAGCAGAATAGGGGTGAGGGGCCAAAGAGAGTGTGCCATGTGTGGAAAATACTCAAAACCTGTCTGAATCTACAGTCACACTTGGAATTGTATAGAATGTTTGACTGATCTCTGACAATTTGTGTGTGTGTGTGTGTGTACATGTGTTTGGATGGCTGGCTACAGGCTTCCCAGAGCCTCATGACAAGGCTCTGTTCACCCTTTCATCTGATCACCACAACCAGCATGGCCTGTCAAGCTACAGCCAGCTATCCCATCATGCCTTTCAACCCTACCAGCTGGGGGGCATCCCTACAGGCCACTTAATGAAGTCTGACTCAGGTTTAATGTCAGGGGGGCCTTTGTGGGACATGGAAAACTTTGTCGGAGGTTATTCTGGATCATCTGCGCACCAACCAGGAAGCAGCCAAACAGGTGTGACACACAAATGCAGTGAATTTATTTTTGGAATATTTATGTAACTTAAGAGCTTCTTTTTAAATGAACCGTGCATGAAGAAGTTGAATGAACAATACAACATTTTTATTATATGACTTTCTTTCAGGGGTAAATTTGATAGAGGAACACCTGCAGGAGGTGAGGTGTCTTCGCCAACGCCTGGAGGAGTCCATTAGGACCAATGAGAGGCTTCGTCAACAGCTTGAGGAAAAACTGGCCACCACTGGACGTGATGGAGGTAATGCAGCTTTCCACACTTGAGTAACAACAAACATCGGCGCATCTTTGTCTCTAAAAAATGACACAATGTGTTTTTTCCAGGGGCTCCAACCAACATTTATATTCAGGGACTGGACACAGTCACTCAGCTGTCCAATGAGATCAGAGTCCTGAAGGAAGAAAACTTGGGTCTGCAGTCCCGCTTGCAGGCCAGCACAGGTACTTCAGTATAAAGGCAACAGACATTTAAGACAGTTTGTTTTGTTTTTTATTTTTTTAAATAAACCCATTCAGTCTCTCCTATGCTCTCAGACACAAGTGAGGAGGTGGTGCAATTGAGGGAGGCGGTGTTTACAGCACGCGCTCGCCTGAAGCAATCAGAGCTGGAAGCTGAGCAGTGGAAGGAGGAGCTCAGACGGCTTCAGGCCCACAGTCAGGAGCAGGGACAGCAGATTCACACATTAAGGCAGGAGCGGCAGGCGGGGCAGGAGAAAACCAACAGGTGTGTGCAGATAATGGCTGTGTCTGTCTGCGTGTTCACATCATCGCTAACTGTTTTATTACTATAACGTATCTGTGCATTAACAGGCTCCAGCATGAGGTGTCACTACTCCAGCAGCAGCTATGTGAGAGCAGGGAACTGATCCACTCCCTGCAGAGCGAACTACACGTCTATGATCGAGTGTGTTCCAGCACAAAGGCCAACAAAGGTCAGTCTATCAAATTAGCTACAACATGCTACCATAGATATATACAGTGGCTTGCAAAAGTATTCGGCCCCGTTGAACTTTCCCACATTTTGTCACATTACAGCCACAAACATGAATTTATTGGAATTCCACGTGAAAGACCAATACAAAGTGGTGTACACGTGAGAAATGGAACGAAAATAATACATGATTCCAAACATTTTTTACAAATAAATAA